TTGGTTAGTTGGTTTATTTAACTATGGCAAAGCACACTACGGGTATCTGCCTAAGGAGAAGGATGCCTTCGTTGAGGACGTTTTAAGGGAAACTGGCTCGTATTACACGTTACACATGGGGAAAACCACGAAACCACCCATGCAACCAGCTCGCGGAATTTAAACCTCGGACCGAACTACCAGTGTTCAACGACTTTACCGCTCGACCGCTGGTGGGCAACGTATTTTCGAACATACACGTAACAACAGCCAACCCAGGTTTGCAAGTATTACATAAATGTTGCATATGTGTTTGAATGCATGTTGATTTATATTTAATTGTCTTTTTCCTACATTCCTTTTCCCTGTATTATTTTCTCTATTCGCCGGTTGCAAAAATAAGAATATTGGTCTCGTAAATTTTTACTTTTCATAGAATATGTATTTATTACGATTATTTATGAATAGAACAGCACCTGTGAGCATAAAGATAGCCAAATAAACGACTTTGCTAATCCTCAAAGTCGTCGATAATTTCGCGACTTTTCGAAGAGGCCCGAATAATTAAAAAGTATATTTATACCACAAAGTTCCGACCTTTAATTGTATTTTATAATGATAGTGAAAGTCCACCAATTTTATTTTTCGATTAGTAGTTCTTCATAATATCCTTCATGAAAGTCTATATATGACTAAATGTTTATTCCTAAAATTCTTATGAGTATTTAGTGTTGTTCAAGGGGATGGGCTTGTGTCTTTCCCCTTTTTTTCTCTGTTGTCTTAGGACACGTTATGTCAAATGCTCTGAAGTACTGAAGTATACACGTAGTTAAATATTCTCAAGAATAATTCTAAAAATGCATGTGCACGTATTGTTAGTATGAAAATACTACCTTAGATTACAGTGAAATAATTTCAAACTGGAAATAATAGAAGTTTAAAATTAAAGAATAACTAGGTTTGAAATTCTTTCTGAACCTGGGAATCAAATGATAACTTGGTATGTGAATGGAAGGAAGATCGCTTGGTATACTATCTGGTGAAATGTTTACTCGCGTTAAGATACAATTATTCAAGAAACTTTAAATTGTGTGATCACTTGTCACATGTTAGTCTATATAATTGCATGATACATAATTGCAAAAAACCGTACCATGATACATAAATGCAAAAGTTGATAAGAGCCCTTGATTACTTATGTTATCATACAAGAGAGTATTTTTATTTTCGCAGCATTTGAATTTCGTGTCATGGCTAGTCTTACGTAAAGAATTGAAAAAAAAAAAACATGAAAATTAACGATAATGATTATGTAAAACATGAATTTTTATCTGAAAAAATAAATATGGAAAATTACTACCATCACTAAAATAATAAATTTACTTAGAATGAAAAAACATAACTTTGAAACGGTTTCTCGTCTGTAAAACTGTGCGTGATTTAGATTCTAAATATGATTGCGTTTTCATGAGAAAAGCAACCTGTACAACAGTTGGCCTGTCTATCACTCTTCTGCAGAAACACCCACTGCAGGCCGTTGGAAAATGACCTTGCATTTAGATGTCACACTTTGGATAAGAAGAGAGTCTTTTACTAATGCATAACAAACTATTCGTGGGCTATCACGTTTTAGAGGCACGCATAAAAAAATGAAATAGTATTTTAATTATGTATCATCGCGAATAAGAGACTTGTACTTTAAATAACAGATCAGGGAGGTTTTTTTTTTCTTTGAAAGTATATTCGTATCACTTAGATCAGCGGTTCTCAACCTTTTGACTAACGCGTACCATCTTAACAAAAATTGAAAACCATTAGTACCACCACTACAAAGTACTATTACCACCACGACTCTTGAACAAAGCTCAGATCGCATAAATTTACGAGTGTTAGAAAAAACACTCAATCAGGATATTGGGGTTTTAATTTTTGAATTTAATAGTTAAAAATACTTTGCTTCTTTGCGTACCACCTATTTTTCTCTTGCGTACCACTAATGGTACAGAGGCTGTTCACACATTTCTTAGACGATGTATATTGTATTCACAAAACTAAATTACATAAAATTCTTGTATTTTAAATATTCTATTTGACATCCCTTATTCTGAACTATGTTTCGAAACCGCAATTTTCAGGATAATAATGCCTTTTGAAGTGGCAGTAGAGATATTCTATCCCTTTCCTCCCGAACAGCTTTCCAGAGTCCTGTTAGGGTTTTGGGACAAATTTTGGATAATGCAGTTTTTAAAAGTCCGAAATCACAAAAATCCATAGGTAGGGATACCAATGCAGTAGGGATATCAATGCAGCATCGGGAGATTTAGTAGGGATATCAAGTGAAGGGTAGGGCCTTTGATAACAGTTTTTTGTTCCATTTCTTTTAGGAAATTTACAGTGGATTTTGATGCGTGACTGCTAGCATTGTCCTGATGGAGTCTCATAGACTGATGGCGCTGTGGGTAAAGCGATGGTATTTCATTCAGAAAAATTGGCGATAAAATATGTTCCTGATAGTATTTGGAGTTAATCTTGACATTTTTTTGCACTCTCTTTATTTTAACTTGCAATTATAAGAAAAACCAGCAACAATCATGAATCCCTGAGGAAAACTTTCTTTCGATTCTTTGAACCATGTACTTAAAATTTTTTCTCCCCTCTTATGATAATAAATGGCACTTTTTTTTTGTTACAATCATTTAAATACACCCATGCTTCATCTATTGTGACAATTATTTTCCATTTTTCTTTGGATAAGTGTTTCTCATATAGAATTCTGCAGCGTGTCCTGCGTTGAGCGATATGCTTTGGAAGAAGACGATGCACATTGCGTTTTTTCTCTTTCTTAAGGTTTAAATCAACGTTTATCATTTTGTTTACAGTGGACACCGAGTATTTTAATGATTTTGCAACTGTGATTTGACTAGGGGGATTTTTCTTTTAACATTAAACAACGTACGTTTGCAATAGTCGAAGATGTCCGTTTTTTCCTTGGATACGTGTTTGGAAATTTTGTCCCACTTGAGGCTCCAATTTGACGTTTTTTTTTTTTTTTTTTTTTTTTTTTTTTTTTTTTTTTTTTTGTTGATATTACCTATCGACGCTTTAGATATCACAAAAACATGACTCTCACATCGTTTTTGGATAACGCAGTATGCATATTTCTCTTCGGAAGGAGCGTAAATGTAGCCTTCGAACCACTGCTTTATTAAATTCGCCATTTTGAATAAAAACAAAACTTTCAAGTCACAGACGATAATTTTGACTTTTATAAACATAGTACAATTGCAATTACTTCTTTTGCAGCAAACGATTTTTTATTACCGCTTACCAAAGTCGTCTAAAAAATGTGCGAACAGCCTCTGTAAGCGTACCACCAGTTGAGAACCCCTGACTTAGATGATTCTCGCATTCTGAAGTCATCTCAATTCAATATACAATCAAATGGAGAGTAATTGAATAAACTCTTCATTAATTAAGCATTTTTAATATTACATAATGCTAATTACAACTATTTACAGAAGTTGAGATCCTACACACACAACCATCTTCCTTCGAATTAATGTCTCATATACACCCATAACCAAACCGACATGGCATCTGTTTCCGAAATAAAAAGTTCTGCAGTGGAATGTAGACGGAGTCAGACGAAGTGGACCATGGGATTTGAGACAATATGAACTCCAAGTAATAAACAAAATGTCGAAAAAAATATTGTCTATTTTATTTAGCAAAGTCGAATTTAATAATCTTCCTCCCATAAATATTTTATATTTATACTAACCAGAAGGTTCATAAATTCTGTATTTAATACTAGTATTTTCTTACTATGTATAGAATGTTTCAGAGTCTCAGAATAAAGTGGCCTTGCAGGTACATTCTGTGGTTGAAGATACTTAAATATATCCTATGAATGTATAACGAGAAACGCATAGTTTACGAAATATAAGATGCTGAATAATATCAGTTAAAAGCTGTGCGAAAGCTAGCTTCCTTGCTTCGTGTGGAAAAAATAGAAATACAAAACTCAGAAAAGGAATGGATCGGTTAACAAAATCACATATTGTCAGATATGCACATTCTCAGTGAATGTTTATTTGATATTGGGTAGGGCGAAAAAATCCCAAATTTTAGACGTAACATGAAAAGTCTTTATCACAGAACACATTACAAAAATAAAAATGAAAAATTACATACATTTGAAGACGTTACAATGTGTCAAAATGAAAGCCATCAGCAGTAACAAAACCAGTTAATCGTCAAGTCAGAGATTGTCATAGAGACGCGAGGAATGTTAATTGACATCCTCAGTGCCTATCAACATTAGTAAAAATATCTGTATGCATAAAATATGCCTGAGTTTGTAGAGACATTAGGTATTTTTGGAAGCAGGAAAAGTGAAAAATGAACAACACCTTTTCCGGGAATCGAACCACGGATCTCAGGAATACTAGCCCAGCATGCAGACAACTACACCACGAAGACGGGAGAAATGCCTTATAAGTTCTTCATAGGATACTACTCAGTGATGGAGGCGAAGGCAGCTGACCTCTTGTTACCGATCTTCAGTCTCCCGTAACTCGAAAACTAAGCTTTCGTTGTTGTATGTGCAGAGGTAATTCATTTGCTTTTAGTAGTGTAGTCCGTAGACTACACTAACAAAGTTGTTCATCACGACATCCTTCTGAGACATACTATATATCGAAAATTTTAATATTTTGCATCAAAATCTCATTTTAAACATGTCTTCAACTTTTGCTTTTAACTTTAAAGAAAAGCCTTTTAAAATATAAAAATATATTTAAAAATAGCCTGAAATTATTTCAGCAGCATGACTTACCGATACTGAGAATGTCTTCAACATGACTTACTTACAAACATGTCTTCAACTTTTGCATTTAACTGTAAAGCAAAACCTTTTAAAATATAGAAATATATTTTAAAAAAAAATAGCCTGAAATTATTTCAGCAACATGACTTCCCGACACTGAGGTTGATTTATTCAAATGTTTTGTTTTTTGCAGGAACGAATTTACGAAATCCACCGAGCCGTAGCCAGAGGTCGTCTTCGAGATGTGCAAACACTATTAGACAGAAAGAAACTTGCACTGGCTCGCGATCCTTTGGGAGCAACACCTCTTCACAAAGCTGTCATGTATGGACATAATGACGTTGCGGAATACATTACGTTAAACTTCCCACTAGCCAAAGACACCAAAGATTTGGTAAACTAATTTAAATGCATTCAACTTCTTTTATTTCTTGGTAATTCATAAAAAGTATAATTAAATTATGTGCAGCCATGCAAATACGTTATTCATATAGATTTAGTTTGCGGTGTTCGTCCTTGTGAACTCCTGTAAGTACTATTAAGCTCATTTGTGTCAGTTAAAGAGTTCTTCATCTCTGATGTTTCTGGGAAGTCATAATTTTTTACAATGAGAACCTTAAATTCATGGCAAGAGGAGAGTTCACGGCCAATCACACATATATATTCTGACTTAACTTAAGACTACTTTATATTTGGTTCATCAGGTTTTCTAAACCTAGTGCGTCCTCGTGTTTAGGTGCTGCGGAATGGAATTTAAATGTGTGCTAAAAATAGCGACTTTTCTGTTTGAGTTATAAATCTTATAATTGTACTTCATTAGGATAAATGTACATTGTGGGCAGGATATTATTTATGAAAGGGTGAGAATATTGACGAAATATATTTTAGGGGGTGAGAAGTTCAAAGAAGATTTGAAACCTCTCTTTCTTGTACAAAATCGGGATAGATTTTCATCTCTGTATTTTTGTCATAATTCGTAATTGAAAACTAATTTTTGCATTCGAAGAAAAAACTCGCTTAAACTTCTTATGCATTTATGTTTTATTTGCATTTTTGTCATAATTCGTAATTGAAAAGTAATTTTTGCATTCGAAGAAATAACTCGCTTAAACTTCTTAATGCATTATGTTTTACTTATATTACAGAGATGCAATATAGTGAAAGGACATAGTATAGAAAGCATTTTAATTTTTTCAATTCAAATTCATATGATTTTACTAGTTGCTCGCCTTATCAATACTGTTATTAATTACTTTAAATGTAATTAAAATAACTGTAATAAAATGTCGTTGTTATATTTTTTAAATCGATTTAAAAATCACGATTAATAATTTTTTTACAGGATGGTCGAACACCTCTTCACTACGCAGCAGCTCTAAAAGACAACCATGAATTATACAATATGCTCATTTCCTTGGGTGCCAATCCTTTAGTTTTAGACTACGTGAGTATTATTTATTTAATCAGCTTTAAATCACAGTATACGAACGAAGCTATATATTCAACAGAAAACACTCCTAACCTGTGCGAGTGTGCTTTTCCACGCCACGACTATAAACCCAATGCTTGCGACTCTTTTTTCCCTGTAAATAAAAGGTTGCATAATGGGTTAAATATATGTGTATGTACGTGAGCGTGCATGTGTATGGAAGAGGGAGAGAGATATTTTGATGTTGATAATGCAGACAAGAACATAATTAACGGTAACGAAGCTTGGTACATTAAAAATTTTAGCAGTCATGCCGATTGAGCATTTTTTTAATTATGAGAAGCATATTCTTAATATTAATTACACAGCGCCAACTGCTTCTTCTTTCTTAATTACATTTGCACTTTCTCTTCCTATTTATGACAGTTAATTACTATTGTGAAAAGAAAAGAAGCTTGTAAGATTTATACTAATTATCATTTAGTTAAAGGTACTTTCCTGTCCATCCCATTTTCAGCTTACAATTTTCTATCAGAATGTGTTTTTAGAATCGCATTTAATCCAAATGAGTAAGAGTAGTACTTAAGTAGAAGTTCCTCTGACTTCGAGAGAAAGCCTCAGAGTTTCTGACTAGTGCGCGTTTGCATTTTGGCTACGACTCTCTAAGCTGTAACTACGCTCAGTTGTATTACAGGCCCTTGATAGCTTCGCTAGCTTATTCGATATTTTGAGGCCAAATAAGAATTTTGATAGCGTCGGCTGTATCTCTTTAGTTAAGCATTAGATAAGTCTTATTTCTTATGATTTTAATTGCAAGCCTAAGTGAAGGCTTTGCTGTACGCCCTGAAAAAGTGGTCATCTGTTAAACTCTTATTTTGAGCACTAAAGGGTAATTAAACCTTCTCAAGTTTACTTTGTTGTTCCTGAAGTAAAGTGATTATTCGAATAGCTGTTCATTACGTTCCTCCATATTTAGTTGTTAGATAAAATTGTGGAACCTCACAAGCTTCAACAAATTGGGGAAGAACGCCAAGAGAGAGAATGTGGTGTGTCCAGAATGGAATCTTCATTTAGAACGATTAGTCGGGTTTAACTTTATTTTGATTGGTAAATTTAAAGTTGAAATTATTATTGTCTGAAGCCTTATGTAAGAATCTGCTTCATTTGCGTTATTAAGAACATGCATGCTACATGGATTAATTCTGAAACGCCGCAGTGTAGAGCGTTTTATATATTAAAATGAAATTACGTAAAAGGACTGCGGCATATGAAAATTAGAATTCTGATTTACGTATTTTTAGAAACAGATATAGGTATACATGTACAGAATTATTCATAATTTCGGGAAACGTTTTAAGAATTTATTACAAAAAATTACAAAACAGATACCAAATTTTAAGGTCCTAAAATGGAGAAAAAATTGCCAAAATTTTATTTACGCACTTTACTCAATATTTCCAGTTCTGGTGATAAGGTACACAGTTATGCAAGGAACCATTTTGCACAATATGCATGCTAGCTTATCATGGTCGACCGGAACCATAGTATCGGAGGTACAGTTACAAAATCTTTGAGATTATCGGATATATAATTACAAGATCCTGGAAATAAAAAGCAGACTAGCGCAATGAAAAAATTCACATGAAATTAAATCCAAAGAAAAAGATAGCCACTATAGTATTGTTTCATTTCCTTTATCTTGTGATTCTATCATTTTTCTAGCAAATTTTGATTGATCTCTCACAAATAATCTCTATCCTTATGGCAAATTTTGATTGGTCTCTCACAAATAATCTCTGTCTTTGAGGCAAATTTAATCTAAGTATTCTCGCAAAATGATCTTGTATTTATGTTACAGTATTTATGCTAGTGAACTAGATAAATTTCCTTTTGAAATACAGGAGGAATATAAAACATTCATCGGGATTGAAATCATTATAGTTCAGAAACATTTTATCACACGAAACAAAAATGAAATCCAAAAATAAACTTTACCTATCTAATTTTGCATCTTAAATTTGCATTTAAAATTCACGCGACAATCTTAACGACGAATTCCCCCACCGCTAAATTCGATGATGCGTTGAAGATCATTTAAACGCTGTTTACCTAGCTTCTGCCATGTTTGCATAGACTCCGCTTACGTGTCCCCACTGTCGGAAACTTTGAGTGAGCTTACGAATTGCATTATAAATTCCATTTTTAACAATTTGAAGGCATGTTATTGTTGTTTTTCTTATTATTATTATTGTTTTCTAACTCAATGAAATCTTAAAAGGATATTTCTTTCTTCCATTAATTTAAGAAATAAACAAACTATGCTAGGGTTATCAGTAATCAATTATCACGATCAGCAAGTTGTGAGAACACAGAATTCTCACAGTGAACAAACATTGTGGCAGCACCGATTCTTGTATCGTTATCGAGCGCTGCCACGTGCGTCGAAGGGTATAAAAACTGGAAGGACTGGTTTGTCTTCTTCTTTCCTCTCTTGCCTTTTCTTCTGTCTGACGTCGTGTTAACGCGTGTGTGGGCTTTCGTTTCACACACTCAGCAGTCGCCATCGTTCCTGCATATTTTGCACGTGAAGTGTCGTCGTATTATGCATAGAAAGAAGCAGACTTAAGAGATATACTATCCAGAGGAAAATGCTTGGTTTGAGACTCACTACTAAGTCCTGCTGCCGTGAATAACATAAAATAAACGCTCAAGCAGAATTTCAATAGTTGTTCGACTTCAAGATGTGCTTGACCAGCGATGGGTCACCACATGACCACATAAGTGTGTAAAAAAAATGTGAATGTGAAAAAAGAAGAGCTTGCACAAGTGTGTAATAAGACTGTGCGACAATACGAAAATGAGTATATGAGAAAATTTCGACTGCAGATATATTCGATGAGACAGGATTGCATTGATCTACGAAGTCGTCTCGTTTCGGATATCCATCGAACCATTCCATTTTAATTTATCACGTTTGTGTGTATCTAAGTTCTGATATTTTGATATTTTATATGTGTGTGATAAATGTTCCTTATTTAATCCAGAAAATGTGTTTGATAAAATAAATGTGAGATTGGAAAAAGAGAGTATTCGACTCATGCATGCATTATTGGGTGAGTCATTTATTAAATCTATTTAGTAAAGATCATGCAATGTACTAACCACTAAATTTTAGTTTTAACTATTTACGCGGAATTAATTTTGTATTTGATATTCTTAGTATCGTCACTTTTGGCGGTCACGCCAACAACACCACATTAATGGTGCAGTAACACAAGTTTTGCTCTATTTTCATATAATTTTCTTTCTCTTTCAAGCGTGGAAAGACCGCAGAGTATTACTTACAATTTCCAGAGCATTTGCACTTAGAACAGATGATCAAGCAGAGTCAAAGGTTGAACGCTAACTATATGGCCAATCATGCTAATCGAATGAAAGCAGTGTCCCCTAAACGAAGTAAGCTGTTTTTATTTATGAGTGTCTTTACGCTTAACAAATGTTTGGTAGGTTAAATTAGGACCACTTCCAAGCATCGCTAACACACGCGCCGATTTTCAGCAGAAGCAGCTTAATTTTTCTCAGAAGCAACAGCTATGGAAAGATATATTTTCTTTGAATTATGATCATCTTTAGTTTATATGGGGTACCAACTGACTAGGAGCACCTGAAATGCTGAAACCGGGCTTGTATATAAAAACCCAAAAGACTATAAAATATCTAGAATAGCAGTAAATGTTGTTATATAAATTGTATTAAATTATCAATAAAATTCATAAACCTGCATTAATAATTTAATACAGATGCTATAGCAACAATTTGATTGTAAAAGACAAATAAGCAAAAATTTACTAATATGTGATAGGACTTCGAGCAACTGTAGAAATCGTATGACATTTCCGACCAGGAAACGTAAAACATTGCCTATGCCTTCTGCAGAATTTGAGCCCGAATAATCCAATGACTAACTGGACACTTACACTGTTAGAACACGCACGGGAAATGCGATAATTCTTTATATTCTGAGGTGAATTATCATCTGCCACATTTTTATTGCGGGTACCACTGTAGAGGCTTCTTAGAAGTTTGAAGCAGAAAGCACGAAACTTCAGCTATAACTCTCCAAACTTTTAACCACGGATTTCTCGACTACTAGCTGGACATGCTAGCTATTTACACCACCACAGCATGCGCGGAGAAATGCAAATCTTCCTTGCATTCTTCCACATTAAAAAAGTTTTGGGAAGAGGCCCGAGATACAGTCGACTAAATTCATATACGGATGAATTGCTGCATACCATACTTTAATTCGAACGACATAGAAACTTATTAGGTTTTTCGAAGCAGAAAATATGAAAAAATAAGCTATGCCCACGCTGAGAAAGGAACGACCGATCTTTTAGTGCTAGATGGTCTTGTTAACCACTTACAACAAAAAAATGCGATAATTCACACACAAAGGAATGCGATAGTTTTTTATGGATTGAGTACTACAGGGTGCGGCAGCGTTCATAGCGTAATTTGACTTGCGTAGTACAATGACGTATTGCATGAATGCGCGCTAGCTCGTGCCGCATTCATATACTAATGAGCTGCCATTTCGAGTGTGACAGTGATATGGATCGCTGGAGTGCACAGCATCGTGCCTTTGCTGTTGAAAGTTATTTCAAGCGTCCCAGCTTCTATTTCGGCAACATTTCAACTTGGGACGTCATGGGAAAGGACGGACCATTACGACAGGCATTTCCAGGTAGAGTAATTTCCCGTTTTGGTGACATTCCCTGGCCGCCTCGCTCACCTGATCTTTCATGTGCAGACTTTTTCTTTTGGAGCCACCTGAAGCAAGAAGTTTTCTGAACACGTTGTGCCACCATTCCTGAGTTGAAGGATCGCATCAGAACTGCCCTCGGCAATGTTGTAGAGAATACGTTACGCCGAGTTATGGCAAGCTTCCAACGCCGTCTAGATGAATGTGTTGTGCAGAGGGGCATTATTTGACAGGCATCATATTCAAAATGTAATCCACACAATGGACAATGATTTACACATTAGTAAATGGCGTACCTTTAACTATTCACTGACATTAAGAGGTAATAAATAAATTACAGTTTCTGCCTTATGGTGTGTTTTTAATATCCTACGATGAACGCTGCCGCACCCTGTAGTTCTCTGGATCCTGCTTTTATCTTGTATATGATTCCATGGGACATAAGAATTTCAAGATAAGATTTCAATATTGTTTCAGCATCCAGTTATATGAATGTGAGAATATAGTGTATGTGACTTTTTAAATAATTTTTTGTTATAAGTTGTGTTAAATAATATCGTAAGTATTTAAAGCCTGAAGAATTTGAAGCCTAAATTTAGGTTTTAAAATTCTGATCGCTCTGAAAAAAAAAAAAAAAAAAAAACAATACTTGCTACTTATCAAATAAATACTTAAATATAAGAACCAAATTTATTTTGCTTCTATTGTATTAACTTTACCCCTTAAATTTTGTATTTGAAGTTCATAAGTATAAAAAAATGTAAAATATTTCAGAAAATCTGATCAAATTCAAGAATAAAAATTCTTCTCTAGTTTTCTTCTATTCCGTTTATAATATGCTGTTCTTAATGCATGTTTCAATGGTTTAGATTTTTTCTAAGGTATACTTGTATTTTTGTCTGGTATATGTCTGTTTCAACGTCATTACACTTAGTTCCGATATTTTTTGTAATTTGTACGAAACTTAAATTATAAATAAATGTAAGAATAAATGTAGGATATTTTAAATTTTAGTTTAATGTTTTTGTTCTTTATTAGAATCACCCTATCCAACAAGAGCGACGCTAGCATTGGATTTTAATGCAAATATCCGCTCAATGAATGGAGAACTGGTAATGTATTCTTACTAGTCTAAAACCATGTCGAATATATTTAATGCATTTTTACTAAATAATGTTATTATAATTTTTGTATTTGCTGCAAAATTTCGATTTTTATATTTTTTTCCCTTTGAGAATTAAATAAATATTTACCTTTGATTGAAATATATGACATTCTTTTTTATTCATTTGAATTTTTCCACTGGAACTGAGGCTAATGTATAACAACATATCTGTTCCTGCCAAAGATAGCTCGAACTTATTTAATGATACTTAACTTCAGTAAGTGGACTGTAATATTAACAATAACAAATTTATTTTAACAAAAATAAAATTATTGAATACTAAGCACATGCATGTTCTTAATAGTTACCTATGTAACCTTAGCTAAAAGCTAGCAACCATATGGCTCTTACATCAAGTCAGAAATCATACCATACTAATAAGGCAAAAACATGAAATAACTTTAGGGTTACACTAAAAGCCAAACTCTGCTTGGCTTAAAACAAATGCTGCCAAGCAATACTCTTTCAGACACCGAACATCCCGCCCGGCGTTGAAATATTAATTTCAATACAGTAAGTAAAATTCAAAAAAGTAATAAATGTTCATACAATACAAAATGATACAATGTAAATTAATGCACAAATTATAATACATGTAATTACAATGTGAAAAGAACAAATATGATAGATTACAATTCAAACCTTCAAATGAACAAAAAACTCGTACATTATTTCTCAATTGGCAGTACAGCAATTTTGGTAACTGCTCGTTTATAAATACCATTTTTGGTTTTGACAGAGACAACTCGCACAAGATTGTCTTTCCCATAAAACACATCTACAATTCTCCCTAACAACCATTTGCAGATAGGAAGATTTTTCTAGCTATATTCCTGCCATTAATGGGCCAATAAATTTGTCTAATAGAATTTAATAGTGATTGTGGATCATTATGAAAATCCTTTTCATGAAAATAAATAAATATAAGTTCAGTTAACTTATTCTTGGCAGGCAAAATAATGGGATGTCTTTGACTATAACTTAAATTAGAATTCTTTATCCTACCACCTACCCTTATCAGACCTTTTTCATCTAAAGAAGGGATCAAAATATTTTAACTTACTCCTTGATGTTATCTGTAGACCTTTCTGCAACAAAGAAATTTCTTCTGCAAAATACCTACCTTGGATATATTTAAGGAGTGTATTCCTTGACAGGTCCATTTCTTCTATACTAATACTACTTGTTCCTTTCTCACTTGTGTTCTTACAGTTGTAGATAAATCTGAAAAGTAAACTAAGAATTCGTATTAGTTTCAAGAAATCATTAGTTATTTTTAGGCAGTCATCAAAGAATGAATCAGTTTTTAAATTCAACAAGGAAGTCGTAACTGGTTTCAGTTTTGAAGAATAAAGCTCGTCACCAAGTCCATTTTTATCTTGAAAATTGTCCTTGTTTAAAAAATCAGGACCTTTCCACCACAGCTTGTTAGATCCAAGACTTGTAGCATCTGATCCTCTGGAAATGATGTCGGCTGGGTTCATTTCTGAAGACACATGTCCCCACTAAGAGTTAGAAGTAAGTTGCTGAATTTGTGAGACTCTATTACTCACAAAGGTTTTCAAAAGATGTGGTGATGTATTGATCCAGGCTAAAGCATTGCTTGAATCTGACCAGAGCTTAACGTCATCAATTTTGAGTTTCAAAGCTTCTAAAACCTTTTGCATAAGTTTGGACAGGAGTAGACATGCTGATAGTTCTAATCTAGGAATAGTCATGGTCTTGATTGGTGCTACACGAGATTTGCTACAAAGAAGCTGGTACAACTCTATATACGCCCTAATAACTATAACTCTGATATACGCCCTAATTTCACCAAATGTGGCGATATGTGTTCTGCGCTGGTTTTTGGCGCGATTGCGTGTTGTATGGCAACCCTGTTGACGTTGAAAAATCTTTCATTGGAGTTCGCGTCATGCTCTGTGTCTGAGAAGCTAAAATGGTGGAAGTTGGTTCGGCAAAAGGAAATATCGTCGTGGCCATCCTGCTGAGGGGCAGTGGGTATATGGAGGTGTGGAAAGAGGTTCTGGGAGATTATTTTTAGTGGCTGTGCATGACAGAAGTAGGGATTTGTGATTATTTGTTATTTTATTTATTTGTGAACCATAGTATGAACTTTCTGGATAGTGTGTCTGGCTGTCATATAAATACGATAGTGATTACGTGGCGGCATGTTAAAGGCAATATGAAATTGGTATTTCTGCTGTTCGAAAAAGCATTGATACATGGTAATTGCATTTTATTTTATTCTTGTTCTTATTTTGTAGAATGTTATGTTCATTGTTGTGTTCAATTTCTGTCGTTATTGTTTTTTTTTTTTTTTGAATTATTTGAAATTTATTTTAGTTATTTTGTTGATTAGTGCGTACCGTCTAAATTGTGCAATCCGTAGATGTTTTTTAAAGTTGAAACCAGAATGCTGTATACATGGTATTCTTTGAAATTTATTGTTGTTATGTTAATTTATTAAAGTGAGGTGTGCGTAGTTCGTAGATTCGTTTGTTGCCTAGATTGTGCCATTGGTAGATATTTTTTAAGTTAAAACATATCGCTGTGTACATGGACTCTTGTCAAATAATTTTGGTTAGAAACTTTACGGTTTTGCTATCTAAATTTTTTGTTTTTCTTTCGGATTTTTAGCTTAAATTGTGTGTTCAAAACGTGTTTTTGGAGACATTTTAGGCTTAAAGTTCGAAATGTAGACAAAAAAATTTAGATAGCAATATGACAGCGTGGAGTTTCTTGCCAAAAATGTTTGGCGAGAAATTTTGCGACTTGAGGGCGCATATCAGAGTAGTTCCAAGAAGTTTACTACAATATTCACCAGGGCTTGTAATGCTTTGAAGATATATCACTGCCCCAAATGCTTTCTCGGAGGCATCCGCAAATCCTTGTAAAATGAGCATTGAAAAAGTCTCTTTTAAGACGCAACGAGGTACTTGTATATTTTCTATATACAAGAGTTTTAATGAACATATTTCATTCATTGGAGAGAGGTGGTGGTAGCTGTTCCGCCCAGTCTAGCTTAAACAACCAAAGTGCTTGCATGAATATCTTTGCCTAGCTAATAATAGGACCGAGTAGGCCTAAAGGATCATATAATCTCGCTATTTGAGATAAAACATCTCTTTTCGTAACATCAGGCTTTTCATTAACAGTAACTTTATATTGCAATGTATCCTTCTTATTATTCCACAACATACCTGACGTCTTCACAGATGTATTACTATTACGATCAAATGAAAAATTCTGTAAATCAGACTTCTGCGAATCAAAACTAGTACACCACTTGTGTAGCTTCATTCCTCCTCTTTGGAGCAATTCTGTCACATCTTTCTGGAGTTTAATGCATTCCTTCAAATTCGAAGGTCCAGTAAGACAGTCGTCTACATAGAAATCTTCCACACCTTCGATGCTACAGGAAAATCCTTTTCTTCATCCTTTGCTAACTGTTGAAGAGTCCTTTGCGCCAAGTATGGAGCACATGCTATGCCATAAGTTACCGATTTGAGTCTGTGTACTTCTATAGGCTTATCTTCATCTTCCCTCCAAAGTATTTTTTGATATTTGGTCTGCGATGGCAATATTTCAATTTGTCGAAACATCTTTTCAATATCGGCAGTAAATGCATAAATGTGTTTTCTAAACCGTATCATGATGGAAAAAACGTTCCTCTTGAATCATTCCACCTTTAAATAATATGTCGTTCAATGAACAACCGTTAGTAGTTTTGGCACTCGCGTCGAACACGACGCGTAACTTTGTTGTTTTACTATCAGGTCTCAGCACGCCATGATGAGGAAGAAAATATTCTCCTTCAGTTTCAGAATAGTCTTCCATCCGTTCCATATGATTTAATGATTCATATTCCCTTAAAAATGAAACATAAAGTTCTTTCATTACAGAATCACTTGACAAACGTTTCCACAATTGATTCAGTTTTTTATCAGCGATTTCCTTTGAATCCCCTAATTGTATGTTTTCACCAATATCTGGCTTGAACGGAATTTTAACCATATATCTTCCATCCGCATGTCGGTAAAATGAGTTTTCAAAACGTTCATTGCAGTAATTTTAATTATGAATTAACTGTATAGTTTCATTTACTTCTTCAACTTCCCAGAATGATTTTACTAAGTTATTTAACGAATTAATCTCTGTTGACAAAATTTAAGTCAAAACAATTTAAAACAATAAAAAAAAAAATTTAAGTCATAATTTTTTACATTTGGAATTCTAATGCTTCCAGAAACTAAAACGCCGAAGCAGCTGTTTTGAAAGAAGTAACTCATTATCTTCTAAACGTATTTTATATGTTTTTAAAAATTCAAAAAATAATTCCGCTCCTAATAATAAATCTGCCTTTTTTGACTTTGAAAAATTCGTCATCAGCTAACTTGTAATTCCTTTTGGGAATATTTAATTTCGAAATATCAATAGATTTTCGATGGTGTCATGTCAGTTATTTTGCGAACAACTAATAACTCTATTTCCCATTCATTTTCTTTTTCTAAGTTCGATAAACGCGTCTTTATTTGTGATTTAACATTCAAAGTAGTGTTGCCTGTTCCACTAACTGGAATAAATGCTCGTTCTTTTTTTATTCCTAATGAGTTCATAACACGTACAGTACAAAAATTAGAAGTCGAAGCTGAATCAAGCACGGCTCTAAAAGGAATTCGTTCATCGTAAACATCACGAAGATAAACAATCGCTGTATTTATTAACACAAATTTAGATTTATTTGCAGCTGCCATCAAAATTGTGTGTGGGGGGAAAGGGGAAGTCCTCTTTCTCATTCACTGAGGAAAGGTTCAAGGTCAATTCTTTTTCTTTGGATGATTCATTTTGTTTTTCGTTATTTTTATGCAAAAGCGTATGATGTGTGTTTTCTTACAGACATAACAATTGAATTCAGCTTTACACTGCGATAATACGTGTGATGGAGAAAGGCATTTAATGCATAATTTATATTTCTTCAAAATCATACCGCTCAGAAACAGAAATGCTCTTAAATTTCGAACAATGATAAATTAGGTGTGGTTCTTTACACATAATACACTTTCGAAAAGGGTTTGTTTTATTTACCAAGGATTTTGAATTTCTAGAGCGACCTAATTGATATGATACTTTAGTAGTATAGCTCTGCTTAGGAAAACTAACTTTGTTTATTTCTTCAAGAATGCAAATTCTTTCTTCGAGAAATTCTAAAAATTCATCAAGTTTGGGAATTTCATTTGATTTTACGTTTAGTTCAAATGCTTTTCTAGATTCTCTAACTAATTTATGCAATAAAATCTTTAATATCAAAACATCAGATAAATTATTTCTATCAAATTCTAATACACTTAAAGATCTCAAACATATTTTATTATTTACTAGTGATCTCAACTGAGAAGGTGAGTCATTTATTTTTTCAAAGTTCAATAAATTATTAATAAAGGCATCAACTATTGCTCTTTTGTTTTCATATCTGCTTTCAAGTGCAGAAAATAGCGACTCAAATGTATCCTGACATGATTCTAACATTTTTGCTTCACCTTTAAGTGATGCTTTCAAATACAACAGTTTCTCAGTATCATTTAAATCATTATTATTACCAATCATAGACATAAATTGCACTTTAAAATTTTTAAAATCTTCATATTTACCATAAAATTGAGGAAGAGGTAAATCAGGCAGTTTAAAATTTGATTTAGAACAGTTTTTTGGTTTCAAATTTATCTTTATTATTTGCTTCACAATTAGAAAGAAAAATTCTAAATCTTACTTCGAACTCTTCGATTCTTTCTTTCCAGTTCTTGTGTAATGCTTAGATTATCTTTCAAGTCAATTTCCTCTGGTAAATTGGTGTATTCCACTATGATCTCGGTGTTTAACCCGAGATTTTAATTCCAACAAAGAATCCAATTTAGTCTTCATAATAACATCATGGTTGAGTTTATTCTCCTCCATTTTATATTCATCAAGGAATTTTATCAAAGCTCCGATTTTATCATTTTCACTACGCCGCGTTGGCGATTCAATGAAACAATATTAGTGGCCATATTCTTCTCCGGCTAATGTAGAGACCAAAGTGTTCCTGCCGAAGATAGCTCGAACTTATTTAATGATACTTAACTTCAGTAAGTGGACTAGAATATTAACAATAACAAATTTATTTTAACAAAAACAAAATTATTGAATACTAGCACACTCTTATAGTTACCTATGTAACTTAGCTAAAAGCGAGCAACCATATGCTCTTACATCAAGTCAGAAATCACATATCTTCTTAATAAGGCAAAAACGAAATAACTTTAGGGTTACACTAAAGCCAAACTCTGCTTGGCTTAAAAACTATGCTGCCAAGCAATACTCTTTCAAACACCGAACAATATAAGTTCGCAAGAAGATAAATTTTATAGCAATATTGCTGAAAATAATGCTATTCTAGATAATTACTTCAAATTTTTGACGCGAATATTTGTAGGGAAATTAATTTTCCGCTTTCAGTTCTTTGGAGCGTACAGTGCAGCGAGTTCAGAAACAACACATTGTTGTTCAGAAAGTAAAGGGAAGTTAATTAAATCTGGCTCATAAATTTGAAAGCTTTTTAGTCTTATTTCACTTTAATGTTGCCAGCTATAACATAATTTTGCTTCAAAACAAGCCGACTAAAATAAAAAAATTAAAAATTTTAAAAAAGAAAGAAAAAGACTACTCTTTTTATTAAGTGATTTCTTATAAATAGTTGCAAAAATATATTTTTATATTATTTGTAAGTCTTTTTTGAAATGACTGAGCATTCATGTATCAGGCGTTATGGCTTGGTCTTATTCAGGCTGGTTAATCAGCAGGCTGTTATATATATATATGCAAATGATTAAAATTGCATTCATTAAGTCATTTTTAACTGAGTCAAAATACACATTGATTTCCTTTGATAGTTTTAAGACATTTTATTCTTTTACATGCTCATTTTGTTGCTTCGAACGCAGAGTGATGAAACTGAAGACCTAGAACCTCAAAAGAATGGTCATGTGACGTTCAAAATGCCCAAAAAAACTCTCTTCAGAAGTCAACCACTGCTACCACCACCTAAATTAAAAAGTGAGTCCAAGTTTTAAATATAAAAGCGTTTGCGCATACTGCTGTAAATTTTCTGCTTAATTTTTTTTCTATTCTCTCAATAAAAAAATTAACATCTTTTAGTGTGCAGATTCAAGTTTGAAATAGTAATAAAAATATGACATAAGCCATTATTTTTTCCGTTTATAGCGATGTCACTTGAATGACTGCCTATTATTTTTTCATTCTTTTAATTTAGATGTAACCTGTTTCATTCGTCCATGATTGTGATTAATGTACTTGAGGGTAACTGAGGGAGAAAAAAATAAAAAATTAACTATTTCATTAATTTGATATGAGTAGGCTACATCCCCGAAGCTATAAGAGCTTTACTGGTAAAACAGTGTTACCATTTATGTTTCAGGAAATCGGAGTTTTAACACTGGTTAAAACAAATTTTGCTGACTCCGTTACTTTAATATTTATTATAAACGTATGAAAACATGCAATTTAATCTAGTATAATTCCATTTTCTTTGTTAGTTTATTTTCTCTTTAATGCAACGTAAATAATTTTTCACTTTATACATTTGAAAGATGCTTGTATTATATAATAGTTGATTAATAATAAAATCGTTTATTTTAAGGATTTAAACAATTTATTAGTACTGAAACTTTTATCACTGATGCTGCAAGGGGTATGATCTTTTTTCAAAACACATGTCAGGAGCCTCAGTGAAACTAGTATTTCCAATGTTTAATGTTAAAGTGTTAATTTAAGATTCAGAAGATTCGAATCATGAAAAATGCGTGAAGATTCAAGTTTTTGAATCTAGAATGTTTGTCAAGATTTTTGAGATTTCAGGATTCGAATGATCTATCCATAGTTTTATCACAAATAAAATTACAGTGTGTAGAGACTTTTTTTTTTAAAGAGGAGACTTGAAAAATGTGTGGAGTCCTCACTGAGACTCTGAATACTACTGTTCCCTTCACGCGGATTCACGCGGCAAATCCTGGTGGGGAAAAATTGTCGTCCAACACCTTCTAGTTCGGGCGCCACATGTAGAGTGTAGTGTCATTAGGATTTTTTGAAGCAGGTGACGTGAAACATGTGTACTGCCTCGCCGGGATTCAAACACTTGACCGCTCAACTACGTGTCGAGTATGCTTCCAACATCACGAAGGCATGCGGAAAAGAGAGAGAAAATACGTTATAAGTGAAACTTGATTAACATAACTAATTGCACTTCTGGTGATTTAGTCTGCAGTGGAGATGGTCTTTTTAAAGAAATGATGTACAGTACCGATGGTTATTTATGTTCTTAAGTAATACTGATTGCTTTCAGAAGTGGTCGTCGTAGGTATGATGTGATCGCCATGAGAGGGTTAAATATATTTTAAAACAGCGCTTTTCCCTGACTGCAATTTTTTGTAATTTTTATTGAATTCAGTTTGTAAAACAAAAACAAAACTTTTTTTTTTTTTTTGAAAAAAAAGTTTCTAAAAAATTTGTTGTAAAAAAAAAAATATTGGGTTCGTTTAAAGTATTTGATTCGTCTTAAAGGCACTCGCTAACAGCCAATAAAGTGTGGAAAAGGTTAGAAGTCATTTAGTGTTACTGATTGCAACACTTCATAATCTTTTTTCAATTTTGTACATAGCTCTTCCCGATTTAAAGCTTAGAAAATCCGTAAATTATAAAAGTATGTCTTTTATATCCATAAATAAGTAAATTACCAAATAGTTTTACTTTGATAAGCCTAATTGTTACTTTATTTGTTAAATTTTAATATTGGAATAAAAATGTTTAAACTAGGTATTAGAGTAAAAATAATTTAAAGATTCCAATATTTTAATAATTTACCACTGTAATCCTTAAATTATTTTAACTCCTTCTGCAGACTGGTGACGAAGTTTATTTCGAATTTGAATTGTAGTTTTTACGATGTCAAATTGTATTAATATTCATTTCTTTTTCTCAGGATTAGAAATTAATTCTGCTAATATTAAGCGATGGATAAGAGAAGAAGATCTCGAGAAGTTGGAAGGAGCTGTTTTAGAAGGTTACGGAGAAAAAGTGGCTTCTCAGAAGAGTGACAATGCTAAATTACAAGAATACATCAACGACCAAGTAAATAAATTCTTTCACACTACGTTGAAGTAAAATTAAACATTTCAGAACAGTGTATCACCTTGAAGAACACTGAATAACATTCTGAATTCAATATAAATAGTCGTCAGAAGCTTTACTTTAAGACCACTTCTTCTTTTAAATAAAATTTTAATATTTCTTTTTGATTTGAATATTTATGATGCTAGCACATGTAAAGAATTATTTAAGCAGAGTAAGTTATCTTAACATGAACGACAGAAGTCAGTCGTTAATTTGTATATTTTTCAGTGTGGCAATCTTTTGATATATGGCTGTATGAGATGGAAATGATAGAACTGTCTAATAACATATAGGCACTGCTATTAAATACGAAGACTGAAATAAGATATATCATTAGGTATTCTATATATATCAATAAGGTACATCATTATTCTCCGTTAGGTTGTAGTCAGGAATTTTACAAACAGAATATTGTGTTCTTGCTTTTTTAAGAGTTTGAAACACTTTCTTTACTCATTCGTAAACAAAAAGTATTATCTTTAGTATTAATTTAGTAGTAACTCATTCCGGTACTTATTATGCAGCGTAATGTAATGTAGTATAATGTATCATCAAACATTTTGGAAACACTTCGCTAAAGACGTCCCTAACATCATTTTTTGTTCTTAATTCAACGGTCTTATTTCTTTTCAGGTTCCACTTCTTGTCAAGAAAATAGAAGCTATTCATAGTGCAATTTCCAATGACGACTTGAATGAACTGCAAGCTCAGCTGCATGAAACAGATCACATGGTTCTTGCAAAAGACCACTTCGGAATGGCTCCCATTCATAGAGCAGTGCTCATGAATAAGCCAGAAACGCTTGCATTTTCTAATTGACAGATTTCCTGAGACAGTAAATGCGAGGGATAAGGTCAGAATTATTGGTTTATTTATGTGACAGATGCATAATAAGTTATAACAGCTGTTGGTGGTTATCAATTACTGTTGTAAGCCTATGCTATACAGTCCCATCGATATATTTCCAAAACGTGATACCTCTGAATCTTAATAGCATTCAGCAAACTTCGAGTTTGTTCTGGATTCTTTTTGAATAAAGATGATGTTATTGTTCCGTTTTCTTTTCTTGGTAATGTTCTGTCTTTTTTGGAAGGGTCAAGATAGCTTCTTTTTCTTATTTCAATGTTAACTATGATATCGTGACTTGCGTCCAACCACAAGGGGTGGAACGTGTGTAGACATCAGCAAAATGATAAAATAAGTGGCAACGTGGTACACTCTTCATCATGTCTTACTTATAAAAATTCACATAGGAGCAGAAATAAGCTGCAGAGGATAACAATCTCTTTGGTGCTATTTTAAATTCGATAATTCGATTGCCGAACAATACCACCGGAAATCAAAATACTAGACCTCGTCTCCAAAAGGCGCCAATGGATTGTCTGCGATGTACTGACGAGTAGCGGATAACCAGCAAGCCCCGTTATAACTTATGTAGCAAAACCTTGAGAATATAACAGCATATTCCATATTATGAACATTAAAGTCTTACGGAAAGTTTACCCTTTACGTACTAGCAAAATTTCGTTTACCACTTTTTCTATTTAACTCAAATTTGAAAACTTTGCTAAAATATTTTACTTTTATTTAGAAATAGGATAAGTGCAAACTAAACAAAAAGCGAAATTTTAAATGTAAAGAAATTACAGTTTTATCTCTCTCAAAGTGTGATTATTTGCAGGAGGGGCGCACTGCTCTTCATTATGCAGCTGCCATGTCCAGGGAGCCAGGAGCTTCAAATTACTTCAAAATTCTGTTAGAAGCTGGAGCTGACCCAAGGATACGAGATAACGTGAGTATTTGTTTCGCTGTCTAAATCGACATGACGAGCATTACCGTTTTATAATCCAAAACTCAAAATGTGTGATAGAACATAATAATTCAGTAGCTAAAACATCAGGATATGTTTTGGCAAATTGATAGTGAGAATGGTGTAGTATGTTTGTTAGCGATACTTTAGATTAGATTTCCAGTTAAGAAACTGTCAGCATATTGCGCATTTACTTCACACTGTTAGAAGTTAGTTGCCTTGAATAATAAACTGTTGAGATCTTTTAATGTTTCTTGTCTCTAATTGCTTGTGAAAGAAAACACTTATATTTCTAACTGTATATGCCATTATTTTATTCGTGGGAAGAGACGTGAAAAATCAATTTTGCTCTCTCCAGTATTCGAACGTCCAGTTGTTAGCTGGACGTGCTAACTACTTATGCCACGAGAAAATACACAGAGGAATGCGATAATTCCTTGTAAATTATGCATGATCAATTATACAGTTTTACTTCATTATTTAATAAACTGGAACTGCCCGATATATCTGAAGATCTGAAGAATTGAATGAATGAAATCTTTCTGTAAGTAAAGTTTAATAATCTTACATTGGTGCCAAAACTGTTAATATTGTTTATTGAAAAATATGTTATTTGAGATATCATCACTGACTTTGTAAAATTATGAAACGGACAGTGGAAAATAGGTTTGTCTGCTAATGTACGAAACATATTTCTATGTAGTATGTAACTGTAGCAAAACTTATTACTGTTCATGTTATTATGAAAAAAAGCACACATATGTAATACCTTTTTTTCTATAGCAAGGTAGATCACCTGAGTATTACAGAACCCACCACGTGCCAATTCCTCATAAATTAAATCTTCATCAAAAGATGTCGAAGAAGCTTCGGAGTAAGTCAGAACCTCCGCTCCAAAATAGAGTAAAAAAACTGCCAGGTAAGGTGTTATTCTTAGTGAATTATTTTTCATCATAATGGCAATTAATGATTCTATAATACAGTATAGTGCATAAATAACAGTATTTTTGTGCCAAATGCAACTAATTGTAATCATTTGATTCTAGCATATTGCATAGATTACGAGAAAATATGAGTTTAGGAAACATAAATTCTTTTCATCTTTAAAAACGTTAACTGTTGTTTAATTAAGAAACAAATTAATTAGATAATGTAGTGGGCTCCGAAGGCTAACCTTTATTTGTATCAATTATCAATTCCATACTTTATGGTCTATTATTTTGTGGTATTTAGTATAAAATCCGCAAAGGTTAACTCCATTACACCATACTGTTGCGAGCTAAGGTATCTTTGGTGTTTCTTTGAATAATAAATTTAATAAGAAATGAAAAAATTATTAGGAAACGAGGCACAATGAATAGTAGCGCAGTACTATAATGGGTGGCAATAACAGGAAAAGAACGCGGATATTCAGCGATTCCTCCTTAACACAAGAAATAAATTATAAAGTTCCTCAAATCAGTCTCAAGTCAAAACCTTAACTCATGGTTCAACTAAACGCTGTCTCAGATTTTCGTAATCAACGTCACTAGAAGAGATTCAAAAGACATCTGAAAAGTTCTTCTGTTAAATGGCTTGCAGCTTGAGTCTGTTTAGCATTTAATTCTGGACTTTCAGATAAATCTTTTAATACAGATGGGTTCTGCTTCCGACCGACAGAACTTCGCGCGATTCTCAATACAAGAGAGTGTAAAGTAATTTCCTCTCCTTTTACAAACTTACGAGGTATATCATTTATGTTGACAGTCCTGGCCCGGAACATTTTGTTTTGCTAAGTCTAAGGGCAGGCGCAATTAAAAGTCCTTTCGAAAGTGGAGTTTCCATCGATAAATCAGTAATACCCACTAGCCAATTCTTGTGAGTTTTTATTACATCGCTGATGATGTATTTCGTTCCTGGAGGGATAGTAATATTATTAAGATTAATTAGAGTAGCAACTCCTTTCACTTTAATATACTTTAAACATCGATATTTTTTCATTAGATATGCGCAGTTCATTATTGTTGAAATCTAAACAATGCCCTTATTCCATTGGACAGTTAAGTCCGAGTCAATATCCTTACTTCATTGGAAAGTTAAGTCGGAGTCAATTTAGATCAACTACATAGAATACGTGGTTATATATGTAGGATGCAAACTTAATTAGCACCATGATTTAGCCCTGCATTGGTACTTTCTCACTATTCACGATTTGTAGATTCAAAAACGGAGCCGTACACAAAATGTGCCCTTAAAACGCCGGGGGGGGCTATATCCGCGAATAGTCACATTTAATCATGTGTCTACTATCAATGCAGGATGAAAAAAAAGTTGATTTCTCTTTCCACGCCCAATCGTCACACACACAGTTTCATCCTGAAGAGGAGCTATTTGAAGAATGTTCAATGGAGCATCTTCTGCATACGAAAACCTCTGCTCCTCGAGAGGGCCGCTGATTCGTTTCCCCGATGATTAGTCGGAATGTTTTTCGTCTTTTAAACTGGTTTGAAATTGAAGCACATGACACTGTTTTCGTAGATGTCCTTGGCGCTATTTCGTTTTGAGGACCGTAAAAAATTGCAGCGAAAATGTATGCGCAAAAGCGCCCATCTAGCATCCGCGCTGATTTCAAATTACGTAAGTTTAGATAGTTCTATATTTCTTAAGACGCCACTGAAATACTAGTTTAAGTTTAAAATCCTTTTTTGATATCCTATAGATTTAACAATTTGGGGCTTGCCTGTGACGAAAAGTCTGCAATAGAATTTTTTCAAAGAAAAGGCATCATTCATTATATCAGGACTTGTATTCCTCTTTACTTGCTTTGGAAACATGAACTGTCCTGACTCGGAACAGGGAGCTTACTCAAGCTATGTTCAATAAATTGTGAAGTAGACAATACACACAGGAAGGGTATACGAAACCCTTTATTTTTCTATCTTTACAGAGATTTCCGTAACTTCGGAATACAGAGACCAACCACTTGTGGTCTGAACGTAAGAATATAAAACTATTAACTAAAACTAACTTTGGATTAATATACAAGTGCCTAGCTTTAAGATTGGCCGTTATTTAACAAAATCCGTATGTAGTACAGAGAGCTGCTAAAACTACGATACGTTTGAAATTATCAAGAGGACTAAACCTCTGGCCTTGAAGGCAACCAGCAAACGAGTAAAACTACTATGGCAAGCAGCTTGCAATAACTCTTTCCTCTCTCTTTGCTTGGCAAAAAGCCACAACTTAAGTACTTGGCGTTAGCAAGACAAATTTGCATAAATAAGTTAAAGCTTTTAATTCTGGCCGGAAGTAGAAAATAAGAAGTGATAGTAAAGATTTAAAATAAATAAACGTTAGTAAAACTTAGGATCCTTACATACTTCCCGCCAGAGTTAATTAGTTTGAAACTGAGGTCTAAAACGACCTTGTTGAAAACTTTTAGCTCTAGAATCTAACGCGAGGCCAATCTTTTACAAACATTTCTCTCTAGAAACTAATAGATATTAAAAAGTCGTTTTTACATTATCATCTCTATGGACAAGTATTTTCATCTGTACTGCATCTATAAACAGGAGTTTCTTAGTTGAAATCTGGTTCCTTATGGAAGGAAAACTAGTTTAATGAAATGTTACACAATCAAATGGCAAGTAACATGAATATTTATATTTCGCCTTTAAAATTCTTATTCCATTCATGACGTTATTTAATTATCTCCCCGTGCTCTCTGACTTGTGTTGTAAAGAAAAACACCAAACACGAGCGTGTCTATGTACAAGTGTTCAACACTACCGCCTGCAATCAAAACTCTAACGTGTTAAAATTCAACATAACAAGACCTCAGAACACACCTTATATTCATCTCTAAACCCTGAGGTACTATTCTGAAAAGTGGCTAACTCTGAAGTGTAGCGTCAGAGAGCCTAACTACATTCATTCAACCTTTATCACATATTCACAATAATTTGCTCTTTTTACAGTCACACGAATAAGTTAAAATTTTTGGCATTACTCTAATATTTTTACTTTTAACATATCACAATATTTCTTAACTTTTAAGATAACAGTTCACATTGTATATAAGGACATATTAACATGCCGTTAATTTTACGCATTTTAAAACATACATTAGTAGTACATTGTTAACTTCTATTCTTTTCCAAGCAAGTGCCAATTCTTCTGCATTGAAATTCTACATTTCAAAAGTCTTTCAGATTAAAACTTCTTTCTTGCCAGAATCTTTTAAATAAAATTTTATACAATAATTTTTACAATTTTCTTAAGGTACCTTTCTCAAAGATTATCAATGCTTTTTCAATATTCAAGTATTTACACATTCCTATTATACATTAATTTTAGTTTTACTCGCGAGTAATTGAAAAAACAATACCAAAATAGGTAACAACTCCTTTCTCGCCTTTTTGGCGATAAAGGTAGGACTCACATGAGGTAAAAATTCTTGAATTCTGCCACTTGCAGTAAGATTGAAAAATTAACTTAATGGTTTCAAAGTAACATAAAGTTTTACTTATCTTTGTGATATTCAGACATCCTTTTTTCTGCCCAGTCCTGGAAGGTAGCGAAGACTACGGTCTGGTTGATCTTCCTTCTTGTGCGGGTTCGCCCTTCGGTTCCTTCCTTTAGCATCTGCCTGTGGTCTCGGCCGTTTGATGGCAGCTGGTCTTGGCGGAACCGGGACAACTGTCTCTCGTTGTTGCCTGGATCTCGTTGCTGGCTGTTCAAATTTTTCTTGCGTCTTTGCATCTGCAGCTGGTCTTCCTTCATCAATTCGTCGACATTTGCTGCGTAGACTCCTATCCGATGGGTATGGGTTCTAGATCTTGTTTTGGAGCCGTGTTATAGTTGCTGTCATTTCTCCTGGCTTTCTTTGCATTAGTCGTACTTCTCCCTTCTTCATTCTGGGGGTGGTCGTGCCCTCTCTTTTCTGGTCGGTGGAACGACTTCTTTTTCTTGTTACCTTCAGTTTTCCAACGGGGGAACTTTCTTTTCAATTGCTCCTGTCTACTAATGGCTTGCCCTTGGGATTGTCGTTGTTCCACCTCTGGAGCTTGTGCCTGCCGTGCCGGATCCTGCAAAAGATCTTGAAATATTGGCATTTTATTACGATTTATAAATGGTTTTATCTGGTCTACGTTTGCGGTGCAGGTTTCACCATTCCTGGCTTTTAACACCACTAAGCCTGAGTTACTTTTTCTATGACATATGGTCCTTCAAATCGTGGATAAAATTTGGCAGTTTTATCTTCTGGTGCTGAAGAAAGTGAATGCTTAATTTTTAACACTTCATCTCCTACTTTATAAGTTACTCCCCGTCGTTTCATATCATAATAAAGCTTCTGTTTTCTCTGTGCTACTTCAGTGTTCTTTTTTGCTTCTTTAATTTATTTTTCTATATTGCCCATTTTAAATTCTGGGGCTCTTTGTTGAACATAAAATAATTTATCTAACGGCGTTATAATCTTTCTGCCTAAAAATAACTCAGCAGGAGTTTTGCCCGTCGTATCATGTTTTGCGGTCCTAAGGGCGAAACCTAATTCATTGACATAGTTAACCCAGCTTTTATGAAAATTTTTAACATAACTACGGACAATTTTCATTATATTTCTATTGACCCGTTCCGCTATATTTGATTGCGGCCGATACGGGACCATTTTTAAATGACGTATGCCCAGTTTTTGGCACATGTCTTCAAATATATTACTTACAAATTGAGGACCATTATCCGATATTACTTTTAGGGCGCCCCCGTATTTTAAAATATATTTATTTAAAATAGAATCAGTAACTAATTTCGCGGAGGCTCGTTTTAAGGGAACAATTTCGATCCACTTACTAAAATGATCAACCATAACAAGGAGATAGCCGACTTTTATTTAACTGACTTTTTGGGAAAGGGCCCAATAAATCGATGCCAATTATTTCA